TTGACATCTAACGTCTCTGTGAGCATCTGCCTTGCACAGAGCAGTGTTCATGGTGGGTCTCTGCTGGGGTGGAAGGGAAAGCCCTGCGCAGTGTGTTATCGAGAGTGTTGTGAGCAATGGCAAGGTGGACGGGAACGCACATTTCTTTCCCCTTAGCTTCTTCTCTCCGTGCTGCTAAGGTTTTAGGCAGCTAGGGAGTGTCTTGATACCACTCGTTGTCATTTTCCTTTGATGCTATAATGTTTATTGTCCTAGTTCACGAAGGTCTCACAGTGCTTCAGAGCCCCGCTGTCCTACGAGCTTCCCCCGGCGAGACCGTTAACCTCAGCTGCTCCTTCAAGTACAGACAGGGTACCGTGGCCAAAGCGACGTGGACTAGAGTACCCGGAGTCATACTGGAATCTCACCATCCCTTCTACAGCGGACGGCTCAATATGTCCGACCTGGATCTGCTCCGGAAAGGGGAGGCCACGCTGACCCTGTCGGAGTTGGAGAAGCGGGACTCTGGTCTCTATCAGTGTCAGATCAGCATCCACCAGGGAGAGAGCGGGACAGGTGCGGGCACCGAGCTGCAGGTGATGGGGAGAAACCAGAGTGACACAGGTGAGGTGGGGAATGGGGGCATGGAGCCTTCCCCCTCTGCGGCCCCAGGGCAGGGGACTGGCTGGCTCAAGGGGCTGCGAATCCCCTAACGCTTCTTTCCATCGCCCAGGTAATAAACCTGCCCCAGTAGGGTGCTGTGCCTGGGAGCTCCTGTATCAGGTCGCCATCGCCCTGGGGCTCCTTCTCATCCTCGGCCTGGTAGCCACCCTCCTCCTGAAGAGACGCCGAGGTACCAAATCGGAGCCTTCCCCCCAGCTAACCTCCTGTCCCCATGGGCCAGGGCCTCTGCTAATGAACAGATCCTAGTGGCCGTCTGTCCGTTGTGGTCCATGCTGGGTTGTCTGTCCATATAACGAACCCCCCATGTCCTTCCTTCTCCTCTCGTCCCTAGATCTCTGCAGCTTCCCTCTTCACCCCAGACTCTCTCTCACACTCCTCCGTTTTAACGTTCCTTTCTTCTCCCTTCTTCCGCAGCGCTGTCCCCCTCGCAGCCCCGCCAGCGGCAGCCGAAGGTGAGACAATGCAGGCTGGGCCCTGTTCCATACAGTGCTTGGATCTGGTCTCCGGGTGCCAATAAGGACTGGTACAATACAGTGTGGGGAGAGAACCCAGGAGTCCTTGCTCCCATCCCCCCTGCTCTAACCCCATAGTCTCCAGTCCCCTCCCAGAGGTGGGGATAGAACCCAGGAGTTCTGACTCCCAACCCCTCCGATCTGGGGTAACACTGTGGGATTTGCTCTCTGGGAGCTGCCTAAATTGGCCTGAATTAAGAGACCAGATCTGGGGTGACGGCGTCCTCACAGCGTGTCTGTCCAACACAGGGCCACGGCAGCCGGGGGGCCGAGGAAAGCGAGAGCGTGCAGTACGCAGAGATTAAAATCCAGACTCCAGGACGCAGGGAACACACCTCCAACCACGCCCAGCGGCGCTGAGTCCCTCCGCACCCAGCAGCACCTGAGTCCCTCACACTCACAGCCACGCCGCCAGCAGGGAATTCCCCACAGGAGGAGACCCTCACAGGGTTTGAGGGAGAGCAGAAGAAAATTATGGGTGTGAAGGTCCGTGTGAACCCCAACAAAACCCCACTAGCCCTCTCTACGGCAGGGAATAATCTACTAGGGCATGGTCTGACCCTCAGGAAATGCCTTCTCCGGGGCCTCCTGGATATAACTATATCACGTCCCTGTGTGTTATTTCCCTGTCCTCTCCGGAGTGATTGCAACGCCTCCCTGTGGAGCGTGACCAGCTGGGGGTAATTAGCGCAGCGTCTGGTCCCTCTTCCTAACTGAGCACGAAGAGAAACGCTCGCCCAGCTCAGCATCGTGTGGGCGGTGGAACTGGTCTGAGCGACCAGCGTGAGTGCTCCAGCCAATGTCTCAAAGAAAGTGATTTTTTTTTGGTCTAAAAATTAAATAATTTCTTTGTGTGAAAAATTGTCTGTTTTCAGCGTTTTTTGAAAAAATGTGTTTGGGTAAAAACTTTTGCTTTTTCTCCCTCACTTCCCTCTTCTCTTCAGTCTCCTTGTCGTGGTCTCCCAGTGGTGATGGTTTCCTTATCGCTCCGTGGGTCCCAGCCCCCTCTCACTGCCCCGAAATGATCCCCCAGTGGATCCCGGAGGGAGCTGCTGACTCCAGGGACCGCTGGAGGAGATCAGCTATCCCAGGGACAGCTGGGAGCTACGTGTCGGTGACAGGATCACTGGGGGTTTCCACTGTCAGGGAGGAGCTGGAGGTGACGGGGGTGGATTGGGAAAATGGGATGTGCGGGATGAAAAGAGAGGCATATTACAGAGGGGAGGGGGACAGCACTATAGACAAATAGAGAGTGTATTACAGATGGATGGATGGATGGACGGACAGAGGGCCCTACCACAGACAGATGGATGGAGACAGGGCCCTACCAAAGACAGATGGACAGAGCGATGGATGGATGGACACAGCAATGGGTGGACAGATGCAGACAGGGCCCTACCACAGACAGATGGATGGAGTGGTGGATGGATGGAGAGATGGGTGGATGCAGACAGGGCCTTCTCCACAGACAGATGGATGGAGTGGTGGTTGGACGGAGAGATGGGTGGATGCAGACAGGGCCTTCTCCACAGACAGATGGACAGGATGAATTGCTGACAGACAGACCGAAAGCGCTGAGGACGGATCGTTCCACCCTCTTCCATCCACCTCCCCCTAATAAAACACACGGTGCCAAACCCGCCTACCTTACAGACAGGCCAGCTGTCCCTCTGCTACATCCCAAGGCTGACGGGGAGCTACAAGGAGGTGTGGGGACGGGGACCCCACTCCCCCCTGCTCCCGATTCACAGGCCACCCCAGCTCTGAGTAGAGGGGGAATCCCCCACAGCTGTGGGTGGTCTGGGGTCCAGGACACACAGAGGAGCGGGGCTGATCCATGCCAGCAGGGGTCGCACATGGTCACAGACACGTACACAGGCCCCTGTCACGTTTAATAGCACAGACGCACATGTAACTCTCCTCCCCCCCTTATCCGGCCCATCTCAGAGGTGCTGACCACAAATGCTTCCACCGGCCCTCGTAGGCTGACGCTTCCGGAGGATGCTGAGGCGGAGCTGAGCGGGCCCCGCGGAGCTGCCCAAGACAGCGGGGACCATGAAGCAGCTGCTAGCTCTGAGCCCCGTCCTCTGCATTGTCCTCCTCATCCCCACCTGGGCAGCAGGTATGTCAGCAACTTTTTGGCTAGCTAGCCTGGGCGTCGGTCTGTCTAGTCCCCCAGCTCCATCTGTCCATCCCTCCCCATCCCCACAGCCGTATCTAGCCATCCCTATACATCCCCATCTATCTAAACTAATCCATCCACCCTCCCCTCTGTTTTCTATCCACCCCTGTGCAGTATCCATCCACCCATCCTTCCCTCCATCAATCCTTCCCTCGACAATACTTGTCCCTCCATCCTTCTCCCCATGGGATCTATCCCTCCCTTCCTGAGATGTCTCTAATCTCTCGCTCCCCACACAAATCTTTAGCATGCTGCAAACAGAGCACGTGGGGCCAGTGTCAACTAGACTGGATTTAACATCGGATTTGCCAACCCAGGGCTGCTGTGCAGACTGGATCGTTCATTTCCGTACTGAATGTGTCACTCACTGGAGAGTGAGAGTTAAGAGATCACATTCCCTGCTGATCTACCCAGAATACAAATGGCTACTTCCCCCAGCTCTTCTAGCTCAAGCTGTAGCAACTTGTGCTTTTAGATTTTGAGGTCCCCAGTTCAATCCGCAGGGTGTTGGCCAAGATGGTGGCCATCAGAAATGCACTAAAATATTCTCATAGCCATTAAGGCCAGAAGGGACCATCATGATCATCTGGTCTGAACTCCTACACCTTGCAGGCCACAGATCCTCACCCACCCACTCCTGTTTTTTCATTCAAACGAAGCTGTCGCAGAAATTCCAGCCGGTTGCAAGAGAGTGCAGATCCCAAATGTTGGAGCGTCTGCCCAGAAACCAGGTGAGTCTGCCACAGAGCTCAGAGATACGGCTCTTGATAAGGTGAGCAAATTACTGGATTTATCCAGCATCTGGGATTGCAGATCTTCCGTGGGGATAGACAGATGGATGTGGATCTAGGGAGCGAGGGACGAGAATGGATGAATGGATTGACAGACATGGATCTAGGAATGAGAGTTTGGATGGACGGATCTAGGACTGGAGATGGGTCTATGACCAGCTGGGTCTACAGATGGATGGAGCTAGGATAGGAGAATAGATGGATGGATCTAGGATCAGAGGATGGGTGGAGGGATGAAGGAGAATCAGGGAACAGAGAGACAGAAACTGCTACTAAACTAGAGAGAGATGGAAGATTAGCTCTACACACAGGAATACAGTGGCTGATGCTCTCTCTAAAGGCCAGGACGGGTCTATCCAGCTGCACGGTGCTGTCTGGTGTATGATGCAGATTCTCTTTCTTCCCTAGCTGGTCTGGGAGTTTCCCAGGAGCCCAGGTCCCTCAACATGACAGCCGGGGAGAACATGACCCTGAGCTGCACCTTCCAGACCAGAGACAGCAAGAGAACCAAGGTGCTTTGGCTCAGGGGATCCGGAGAGGATCTGGAGCTGGATTCTAACCACCCCTTCTACCGGGGCGGCTCCGTGTGTCCAGGATGGACGAGCACAGACAGGGGAAGGCGACGCTGACCCTGGCTGAGCTGCAGGAGCGGGACTCCGGCCTCTATCAGTGCTGCATCGAACTCGACCGTGGGGAGACAGGGATGGGAGGAGGCACCAAGCTGAGAGTGATGCGGAGAAACCAGAGTGAGACTGGTGGGAGTGAGGGGGGGCAGGGAAAGGGGCACGAGGCCTGTCCCCTCCAGGGGGCGTCATCCCAGGAATCTCCTAACCCCTCATTTCTATTGTTTAGGGGCTGCAGGGGAACGTGAGCTCTGTCGGGTCTTTGGGCCCCTCTTTTACCGAGCCATCATCTCCCTGTCATTCGTCGTTCTCTTCTCCCTGGGAATCATCCTCAGCCTGCGGCCTTGGAACGGTACCGCCTCCACGCGGGTTCTGCCTTCACTTCCTGTCCCAAACAGTTACATGGCATCATTGCACGGGCTGGTAACCAGCCCCTGCCCCACCCCAGAGCAGCTGCTTCTCAGCACTGTGCGAGGGATCCCCATGTTACCAGGCCCCACAACCCACTCCAGAGGGGCCGTGTCCCAGCGCCGCGTGAGGGGTCCCTGTATAAACAGCCCCTGCGTTCTACCCCAGAGGTGGAATCAGTCTCTTTCTGGTATTTATTGGGCTCCATCCCCGTAGCGTTTCCCCCCAGTCTGTTCAGTGACGCTCTTGTTCTGTTTCCCAGCTGTCCCCGTGGATCCCGCAGTGGGTGCTGGCTCCAAGCCGCCCCCGGCACCAGGACAGGTGTCTCTTATTTAGCTCCTCAGGGGGCCAGTCACCGGCCGGATTTTCCCAGCTCCAGGTTCAGAAGCCGTCAGACTTCGCTGGACTCTGAGCCACCTGCTGGGGGCTTCTGCGTGGGCGGGGCTTCTCCGCTCTCCTCTGCTTCTGTCTGTGGGTCTGACCTCCACATCATGGGTGTGAGAAGAACAGTAAAGAAAAGGAAATATTTCTCCAGATTCATTCCGTGTTGGACAATATTTTTCCTTTTACGAATGTAAATTACATGGTGTAATGGAGTCAGCTGCCAGAGAAAACCGAATTCTAGAGAAAAGGTACCTGGTTTATACAGGAAAAACCGGTCTGGAGCAGGCTTGATTTGTCAGAAGGAATTTGCCGATTCAAAGAGACACGTGTTGCAAAAATAGATATATTTCAATGTGTGGAAATAAAATCCATTACGTGAAAATTCCTTTATTCACAATCATGTTATTCCTCGTAGAAAATAAATGACAGGGCGGGGAAGGAACATGGCCCAAGATGAGACACTGAACTGAGGACAGAACCCAGGAGTCCTGGCTCCCAGCACCACTGTACCCACTAGGCCCCACTCCTGTCTCAGAGCCGGGGAGAGAACCGAGGAGTCCTGGCTCCCAGACTGTGCCCCCCGTGCTCTAACCATTAGACCCCACTTCCCTCCCAGTGGGGTGCAGCTACGCACACTCACCAGCCAGCCCCTCACACTGTGCATAGCACCCCCCGCCACCCCACATCCATCCCTTGTCCCCGGCCTCTCGCTGCAGCCGTCTCAGAGGTGCTCAAAACAAACCCTTCCACCGGCCTCCCCCGGAGGTGACATTTCCGGAGGATGCTGAGGCTGAGCTGAGCTGGCCCCATGGAGTCGCCCAGAGGGCGGGCCTGAGCCCTGTCCTCTGGATTGTCCTCCTCACCCCCACCTGGGAGCGGGTATGTCGGCAAATCCCCCACCTCATGCATCTTTAGCGCACTGCAAACGGGAAGTGTGGAGCCAGCATAAACTAGACTGGACTGAACATCAGAACATCGAACCCGGGGCTGCTCGGTGGTTGGGTCGTTCATTTTTGACCCATTCCCTGGTGGAACCATATCTCTCTCTTTCTCGCTGGAATTTATAGAGCTCCATCCCCGTAGCATTTCCCCCCCCCCCCCCCCAAGAGGTTCAGTGACGCTTTCACTCTGTTTCCCAGATACACCTCCGCGTTCTTATTGGCTGGGCAAAAACTCGCGGGCAGTGGGGCCGGAGGCCCCCTGCCCCCCCAACAATGGCGCCCCTGTCGAGCGGCCCCGGGAGAGCGAGCAGAAGGGGCTGTGCAGGAGCAATGGGTACCTGGGAGCTTTGTCACCCCCTAGTGGCCGCTGCCGTTATCGTTCTCCTTGGTACAGGAAACGGCCTGTGGCTCCGGGCATCGGGCTCCTGGGTGTGGGCAGAGGCGGATTTACAATCAAACACACAGTGCTCCGGCATGGGGCCCCCCAACTACAAGGGGGACCCCGGGCCGGGCAGCCCAGCACCGTCCACGACCCCCTGCGGGGGACCCTTGCGGGGGCAGAAGCTGCGGGGGAGAGCAGGGAGGGAGCCATTTAAGGGCCGTGCTGGAGGTGTGGCGTGCGGGGCGCTCGCCCAGCTGGTGAGCCGGGCTCCTGCTGGCTCCCGGGGCTCCTGCTGCTGGCTGGTGCTGGCGGCCAGGTGAGGCCCCCACACACCCAGCCCCTGCCCTCGCTCCTGACCTCCCCACAACCCCAGCCCTGACTCCTGCACCCCCCTCACACACCCCAGCCCCCGACCTCCCTGACTCCTGCACCCCCCCATCTCCACCTGCACCTCGCGCACCAAACAGAAGCTGCCCCAGGTAAGCGCCCTGCCCCCCAACCCTCTGCCCCAGCCCTGAGCCCCTCCCGCATCCTAACTCCCTCCCAGAAGCTGCACCCCAACCCCCAGCCTGCTCCTGCACCCTAACTCTCAGACCCCACCCCCCAACCCTGAGCCCCCTCCCACACCCTCACTCCAGACCCTGCACCCCAACCCCACCCTGCTCCTGCACCCTAACTCCCTCCCAGACCCTGCACCCCAACCCTGAGCCCCCGCCCACACCCGAACTCCTGGCCCGACCCTGCACCGCAATGGTTTTTTTTATAAAGCGCTCTTATCCAAAGCACTTTACACTAGTTGGCTAACGGTACAAACAATATTTGGAAAGATCGTTAAGTGTCCACCGAGACCCTTAGCAATTTTCAAGTGGTCTGTGAAAAAAAAGTTCGACGACAAAAGCCATCGAGGTCCCTCACTTGATTTTCATTTACTTCCTATTCCTTATACTAGAGGAGGGGGAGGAAGAAAAAAAAGAACGAAAAACAGGGATGGGGGTCACGAAAGCTCATGCTCAAATAAATTGGTTAGTCTCTAAGGTGCCGGGGCCCCAAAAATGAAGCTGAGCACAGGGCCCCACTAACTCTAAATCCGCCACGGGGTGTGGGTGGGTCTGGGGAGGGGACTGTGGCCCCTGCAGGGCTGCTGGTGTGATCCTTCTTCAGGGATCTCTAGGGCCAGGCCCCAGGTGGTGTCAATCGTCTGTAGCGCATCTGACTTCAGTGGAACGGGTTCCCAGAAGCTCATGATCTGGCCCCATTGAGGTCAGTGGCCGCGCGGCCTCTTGACACCAGCTGGGATCCGGCCCAGAGGCTTTGACAGCATAAATTTTTGTGACCTGGTCTCGGGGTGGGGCTCGAGCTGGGCAGTTACATTTTCGGAAGGAACCCTAGAAAATCAAACCTGAATCGGCCCTTTATGCTCGCCAGAGGGTGACGTACACGGGGAGGCGAGTGGGGTCTTGTGGGTTCAGAGCAGGGGGTTGGGAGCCAGGACTCCTGGGTTCTCTCCCCAGCTCTGGGAGAGGAGAGGGGTCCAGTGAGTTAGAGCCCCCCTGAGCCAGCCCACTCCGATCACACTTGGGGCAGCTCTCCCTTCCCAGAGCGACCAGCTCAGGGTCTCCGCAGACTCAGGCATGGGTCCCACTCGCCCCTGGCTGGAGAGATTTCTTACACCCATGAGGGCTAGAAGCATTTTTGGCTCTGCAAGCTGAGCGCCTGGAGGTCGACTCCAGCTCGCGGGACGGAAACCGTGGTCAGTTATTTGTGCATCGCACACGGCCCCGACTCCGACACATCTGTCGCTGACTGTAAATCACCCCCCGCCCCGCCTGCAGCTGCCTTTGCACAAGCGGCGGCCTCGCCCGATGCTGAATTTCCTGTTTGTCACCACGACCCCCAGGAGCTCAAGTGCAGACAGAGCCCCGAGCCAATCGGCGCGCTCCGGCCTGCCACAGAAACGGCAGCAAGTACCACAGTAGCAAATGGAGCCCCACTCCCAGGCCCACGGACCCAGGCACGGCACAGGCCCCTCTGACCTGGGGCCTGGGAGCCAGGACTCCTGGGTTCTCTCCCTGGCTCTGGGAGGGGAGTGGGGGCTGGTGGTTAGAGTGGGGGGGGGGCTGGGAGCCAGGACTCCTGGGTTCTCCTCCGGCCCGAGGGGAGTCACCCAGAGGAATAAGCTTAGCCCCAGCAGCCGGCACAGTCAGGCGGGGGGTAAGGAGGATGGAGCCGGGGGCCAGCAGCCTCCCCATGCTCACCTGCCGCCCCTGCTCAGACCCACAGCCCAGGTGAGCCGGGCGCCAGCAGGAACCCAGGGCTGGGGGCCGGGGGTGAGTCAACCCTGACAGCTGGCCCTGCCCCCCGCTCCCTCAGGGGAAGGAACATGGCCCAAGATGAGACACTGAACTGAGGACAGAACCTAGGAGTCCTGGCTCCCAGCACCACTGTACCCACTAGCCCCCACTCCGGTCTCAGAGCCGGGGAGAGAACCGAGGAGTCCTGGCTCCCAGACTGTGCCCCCGTGCTCTAACCATTAGACCCCACTTCCCTCCCAGTGGGGTGCAGCTACGCACACTCACCAGCCAGCCCCTCACACTGTGCATAGCACCCCCCGCCACCCCACATCCATTCCTTGTCCCCAGCCTCTCGCTGCAGCCGTCTCAGAGGTGCTCAAAACAAACCCTTCCACCGCCCCCCACCCCCCAGAGGTGACATTTCCGGAGGATGCTGAGGCTGAGCTGAGCTGGCCCCACCGAGTCACCCAAAGAGCAGGGACCATGTTGCTGCTGCCAGCCCTGAGCCCTGTCCTCTGGATTGTCCTCCTCACTCCCACCTGGGAGCGGGTATGTCAGCAAATCCTGGCTAATTTAATCTGTCCACCTGCCCCATCCCTAGATCCATCTCTGTCCATCCGTCCATCTACCCCACCCCTAGATCCAGCTGCATCTGTTCTCTAAGTCTAGATCCTTATCTATCTACTCATCTCACCCCACCACTTCATTTATGTGTTCATCTGTCCATCCTCCATCCCTACAGCATCCATACCGATCTATCTATACATCTGTCCGCCAGCTCCGTCCCTAGATCTTTACCCATCCTTTCATCTAACCCCATCCCTAGCTCCGTGTCTGTCTACCTAGCCCCATGTACACCCATCTATCCACTCTAACCCACCTCCTTCTGCAGGATCTCCCCATTTCTCTGCGGTCTTGACCCATCCCTCCCACCCACAGTGTCTGTCCGTCCATCCCTCCCGCCTCAAGATCCCCTCATGCACCTCTAATGCATCACAAACAGGAAATGTGGAGCCAGCATCAGCTAGACTGGACTGAACATTGGAACATCGAACCCGGGGCTGCTCGGTGGTTGGGTCATTCATTTTTGACCCGTTCCCTGGGGGAATCAGAATCTCTCTCCCTCTCTCTCTCTCTCTCTGGTATTTATAGGGCTCCCCGTAGCATTCCCCCCCCCCCCGCCCCCAGTAGGTTCAGTGACGCTCTCGTTCTGTTTTCCAGGTGTGCCCATGGATCCCGCACCTGAAAAATCTAGGGGTTTTTTTGCAGATAATAACTTAGAAATTAGACACAGTGCTCCTGTCAGCTAGTTCCTATATAAAAAAAGGAAACACCAAGTAATGTTCAGATGACGTGTAATTTCAGAACAGGAAACCACGTCTGAAATTCTTCCAAACTGCAGCAGTGTGGGTATCACACCCGGGGCCTGTTTCAACTCAGGAAACTGGCACCCCGAGCGAATGAATTTCCTGCTAAAGTGAAGAGCGCCATGAGGTGGCGGGTTACGGGATTCGTAAGAACAGACTGGGCAGAATCGGGTTGCCAGATTTCTACTGCATGAATAGCCCAAAGTCACTTAAAAGCTAGCCCCACGGTAGCCCAATCTGTTCATTGAAACAAAGTTTTTTTTTATGAACGTATTGGTCTGTACCTTTAGAAAGAATCACTATCTAGGGTATTAATAAAGGCTGGATGTTACCAGCATTGACCTATAACGAACAAGTTTTGGCAGCCAAATCTTACAAACTGTTCAGATTGGCTCGGGTTT